AGCTGCCGCCGCGCCCCGGCCGCGCGCACTTTTATGCTCCGCCGGCGATCGACTTTTTTTTTTTTGCACACTCTGCCAGTCCGAGCCAACTTTCCCTTGAACTTGCCTTTTCCTCTCGCGATCGCCCGCTTCCCTCCTCTCTCTCTTTCGCCCTCTCTCGTTTTATGCTGCCGCTGTCTCGCAGGTACCCCGGTGCCGCCGGGAGCCCGAGCCGCTGCACCGGAGCTGGAGCCGGAGCTGGAGCCGGAGCCGCAGCGAGAGCCGGAGCCTGCCCGGGTGCCACCTGCCAGGAGGGGAGGAGGCTGACGAGCGCGCTGGAGCAATTTATAGGCACCCAAAAGCGCAGGGGAAAGGGGAGCTGCTTTGGCATCTCATTCCAGCATCTGCTCTGCGCTTCCCACTCACAGGGAGTTTGGCATTACTCTGGCAGTGTGGGAAATATATATTTTTTTTCTTCTCCCCCCTCCCCTCCTTCTCTGCCCCCCCTCGCCTCGCCGCAAACGGATGAGCAGCGAAATCGTGAGGCTCGCTCGCTAGCTGAGCGCTGCGATGACAGCTCTTTCTGGGGCTCACCGAAAGGAAGAGATCTGCTTAGCAGCCCCTGGGCACCCTCCAGGTCACCGATCGAGAATTAAAAGGTCAATCCACCTCCTGCTTAATGTTTCCCCGAGGCCACTCTGCCATATTAGTGTTTTCTGGGAAATATCGCTTTAAATGTAGGGATGATTTACAGTTACTCACTTGCCCAAGTGGAAGTGATCTGAAAATAAACCTCGCGCCTCTCGCAGCAGTGGGGATTAGCTTCTCTCACAACTGCAGACCCCCTCTCCCAATTACAACTATAAATGCTATATATATATATATATATATATTTCTGCAAATTAAAATCGACAAAGTCGTAGCTGATCGCACTGCTTGCCAGCGTTAAAGCTAGCCGCTGCTTTGCTAATCCAGGTGGCAGCAAGGAAAACAGGTTCCCCTTTGTGTAGGAGCCAAAGGAAAGGGCATTGCTGGTTAACAGATGCCAGGACCAGGGAAAGGATCTCTCACTTAACTCAGGGGCAGCAAAGTGTTTCTTTGAGTCTGTTTGCTTATTCTTTTATTTGTGAAATGTTTCTCCTCCCCTCTGGGCTGGTGGACACCTCTATGGCTGGGCAGAAAGGTGAACATGTAATATCAGTGGCATTCCCCCGAGAAAATATTAAGCAACATGTCCTGCTAACGAATAAACAAGGTACACAAAGAGCTGTTTAAATAAACAAACAGAATTGATTCCTAAATCATACTTCTGTATTCAGGAGCAATGGACGTCAGTCAAACGTGGGTGACATTTGCCTGTCAATATAGGGATGATGGTTGAAAAGAGTGTGACTTATTACAGCAGGGCGAGAATCTGAAATGAGCAATAGCAGCAAAAAGGACAACAACCACATAATAGCATCTCCAGCGATAATCAGAGGGCTGTGGTCTTGTCTTGGATTTTATTAGCACGAATCCCCCCTTCTCTTGCCCGTTCTCTTTTCTTCCTTTTCTACTCTGGAACACAATAAGGTCAAACAAGCAGGCAGTGGGAAACAAAGATTCATTGATTCTTCCTTTTAAGCAGAAATGTCAGCAGCTCCTTATGCTCTTTCCTGAGAGACTCGAAGGCAGTGAGTGTGTCCATGCAATGTAGAGATGGGCCAGCCCCGCTCCTTATCTCCACAAAAAAACTCCTGATAAAGCTTCCATTTTCCGCACTTGTACATGGCCCTCCTCCCCTGCCTTTTTTCATTTCTTTATTTTTTCTTTAATGCTCTGTCTTAAAAAAAAAAAACTCTTTATCAGGCACAGGCACAAGCTCACCAGTTCCCTTAGCTAAGGGCTTCTACTCCAGAGTTGGGAAGGCAGATGAACACACTTGGAGGATCACATTCATATCTCATCGCTCTCCTCGCCCCATAGGAAAGGGCTTTCAACACTGCTCTTTCTTCTTGGAAGGCAAAAGGAAAAGTTGTGCCAAGAGTGACAGGTCAGTCTCAACCGTAGCTGGGCCCTTGCTGTATCCTATGAAAGCCTCTAACCCAAAAGGCTTTCCTGCCATCAGGATGCGTGTAAGGCTCCGCTGCAATTGCCAAGCCACAGACTGGGAAAACAGAAAATCTCTTGCCTTCAAATAGACACAAACCTAGTCTGGCCCTTCATGCAGTACTCGGTGAAGTTGCCAACATACTGCCTTGCTGCCTAAGGTGAGGCTGGTTTAAATAGCAAGCACCCACTGCACGTATTTCACATGTTCCCAGCCTTTGGATGATGCACCACAATATACAGTTTTATCCCCTTGCATGATTGCCAAGACTCTGTGTTGCTCATTCACTCCAGACTTTTGCGGACTTTTTCCAAAAAAAGAGTCAAACTGCAAAAATCAGAGTCCAAATAAGCAAAATAGAAGGAACAAGGTGTAAGAATTGTGTGTGTGCGGTGGGGAAACATAACCTGGGATCTCTGATGGGCCGCTGCTTTAGATCAGCCTTAATCTCAAGTTAATAATATGATTTCCCAAGGAAAAGAAGAGTGAAAAGGCAAAAGGCTTAAAAGTTGTGCACCGGAGCCTGGAACACACTTAAACAAAATGTTGATATCTCTTTTTACAGTGGGACTCCTCTAAACCCCTGAATTGCTGTAATTAAGGTTTGAATAGCATTTATGTTAAAATATAATTTCCTTTCCATGTGAAAGGCTAGAAATTGAGACCAGCAATCTGTTCTTAATGTACTCATCACACCTATGCTAGGACCTGCCAGTCTTAACCCAGCGATCAGCACCAAATCCTAGTGTTCATAGTGCAGAAAGCCCCTTGCAGGTTTGTTCTCAGCTCCGAACCTGTTCACTTAACCTCCCTGTCCTCCTTGGGCCTTTACCTGCTCAGACTCAACAGCGGTTGGTGCCTCTGCTGCAGCCCCTGCAGCTTCTGAGGCTTGAAGCAGCCTGACCACAGCCCTTTTCCTTACTCGCTATTTAGTTAATGCTCGTAGAGAGCCTTAAAAATGTAAAGCATAACAATCATGCTCATTTGTGTGTGAGTGAGAGTGTGCCCTTGCCTCTGCACTAAGAAAGGGAAAAACTGAGGAAAGAAAAATGAATAAGAAGCTACCAACCGGAACAGAGAAATATGTTCTGCAGGCACAAAATGGCTCCTTATGGCTGCAGGGCTGCATGCGCAGGGTTAGACCCCCCGAAAAAACATTCTGGGAAGAAGGGACAACCCTTTCCAACGGCACCTAGCGGGAAGAGCTTGGGAAAAGGCATATGCTGAACAAAGGGCTGTTTCAATGTTGTGCCAAGTTACATACTGCTTCCGTTCACTCCTGTCTATCTGCAGCTGCTTTGCTATTGCTTATATATTACCTCTCTCTCTCTTTTTTTTTAATTTAGAGAAGTGTTCTGAATTCCAGTCGATTCTAAAAATAAAGTTGTGACCTACTCTTATCATTAGAAATACTGTTCTAACTACATATGTTAAGGTTAGAATTTCGACCTGGAAATCAGTGGGCAAATTAAACTGTGGCATGGTCAAAAAAATGACTCCCCTTCGCTTCAGCAGGCAATTGGTTTACATGTTTCAAAATAAAGTTATACATGAATGGGAGAAAAATATTCATGCCTGTATTGATGGCTCAGCAGTACCATCATGAGCACTCAGAATGCCAGTCCTGCTCTTCCAGACTGTTCCTGGTGCACTATTTTAGTTACATTTACCCAGTTTGCTGAGATCTTGTGACATTGCACCCATGACAGATCTCGCAGTTGGCACGTGTCATATGGCAGGTCCTGGGAAGTCTCACACTCCTATACCCCTTTTTAGTAGAAATTAGTGCAACAGGCATTAAATAATCTCTCCCAGAAAACCACTGCAGCCAGTATGAGTGAAGAACATCTGTATTTATAGCGATGCAAGTTTCCTTCTTTCATAAAATGAAAGTTTTCATATGTTGGAGAGAAACCGATCCTCCATATATGTATACTTATACATATATATATATGTATGAAATACTTGATTTTGCTGACCATTTTGAAGCTTTTCTTTTACATTTGGAATGTAGCAACTCCTTCTTTAGGACATTGTCAACCATTCAGGAATTTAAGCCGTTTTGTGGGGTAATCAGAAATATTCCACATTAAGTTTTATTACAATTACCTTTGATATCATCAGGATATGCCCCCCTTAATGAGACAATGCACAAGAAAATGATCTGAAGAAAATGTGTAGAGCTTTGAAAGAGTTGCAGCCACTTTGCAAATCAAAATAAGGGGGTGTCACTAAAGTGACAGGGTTCAGCAAAGGTAATCTGCAAATAAATTCCCCATTTCTTTTTATTTTTATTTTTTCATCTGAAAAGATGGCTCAAACATGACTGGCAACTGGTGTTAAAAAAAAAAAAACCCTGAAAAATCTGTACCCAAGTTACTATTAACTGGTGAATTGCTTCAGATATAAAAACATTACTGTGGATGCAAAAATAAGTCTTAGGCAAATAGAAAACTAAAGATTGCACATTTAATTGACCGAGTGTAAGGTTATATAATAATCACACATGACACCTGGTAATTACTCCTCTAAATAACTGTAAGTAACCATAAAC